ACAGATTTCATAGGGCAAGAAATATTTGAGAATACTTTCAAAAACGGAATTGAAGGAATTCCAAGAAAATTTAAACAAAGGTCTAAGGCAGGAGTTTCCAAGAACTTCAGGAGATTTTCAATAGAATGTAGAAAAATGTAAAAAAAGTGTGTCTCTATTTCGCAGCGTAACTTTACAGCTTCAGGATGGTTTAAAAAAAGCTCTAACGAAAGTTCAAGTGAGATTCAAAAAAGTATTAATGCATATTCCAAAGAATTTCAAACATCTTTAAAATTTAAGGTGACTGAGAGATTTTCATAAACGCTCCTCGAGGTTTTCAAAAAACCTTCAAGTCGATTTCGGTAGAGCTTAAAAAAAGGATCCAGATGAGCGTCAAGAAATGTTTCAGTAATTCTTCAATTTTCGAAGTTGTTTAGCGAGTGCTCTGAGAATCCCGAGAGAGATTCAAATCAAGTTTGGGGGATACAAAAATTTTGAATTTTTCAAGAGAGTTTTAAAAAAGATCCAAGCGAAAGGGTTTCGATAGCTTTTCAGGAAATGTTTGGGTGTATTTTAAAAGAATTTCACAAAAGTTGAGAATTTTAGAAAACTTTCAAGACCTGCAAAACCATCAAGATCTTCAAGACCTTCAAGATCTTTCAACGGTTTCAAAGATTGCAACGGTTTCAAAGGTTTCAAGGGTTTCAACAGTTTCAACGGTTTCAACGACTTCAACGGTTTTAACGGTTTTAACAGCTACAACAGCTGCAACAGGTTCAGCATCTAATAGGTACAGTAGCTTCAAGAAGTTTCAAGAGTTTCAAGATTTTCAAGAGTTTCAAGAGTTTCAAGAGTTTCAAAAGTTTCAAGAGTTTCAAGAGTTTCAAGAGTTTCAAGAGTTTCAAGGGTTTCAAGAGTTTCAAGAGTGTGAACTGTTTCCAGAGTTTGAAAAGTTTCAACAGTTTCAGAGTTTCAAAGTTTCAAGAGTTTCACAGTTAACGCATATTCCAAAGAATTTCAAACATCTTTCAAATTTAAGGTGACTGAGAGATTCTCATAAACGCTCCCCGAGGTTTTCAAAAACCCTTCAAGTCGATTTCAGGAAAGCTTAAAAAAAGGATCTAGATGAGAGTCAAGAAATGTTTAAGTCATTCTTCAAGAGAGCTCCAAGGTAGTTGGAAAAATTTTCAAAGTTGTTTAGCGTGTGCCCTGAGAATCCCGAGAGAGATTCAAATCAAGTTTGGGGGAGAGAAAAATTTTGAGAAGGGTTTCGATAGCTTTTCAGGAAATGTTTGGGTGTATTTTAAAAGAATTTCACAAAAGTTGAGAATTTTAGAAGACTTTCAAGACCTGCAAAACGATCAAGATCTTCAAGATCTTCAAGACCTTTTCAAGTCCTTCAAGATCTTTCAACGGTTTCAAAGATTGCAACGGTTTCAACAGTTTCAAGGGTTTCAACAGTTTCAACGGTTTCAACGGCTTCAACGCTTTTAACGGTTTTAACAGCTACAACAGCTTCAACAGGTTCAGCATCTAATAGGTACAGTAGTTTCAAGAAGTTTCAAGAGTTTCAAGGGTTTCAAGTGTTTCAAGAGTTTTAAAAGTTTCAACAGTTTCAGAGTTTGAAGAGTTTCCAGAGTTTCCAGAGTTTCAAGAGTTTCAAGAGTTTGAAGAGTTTTAAGAGTTTCAAGAGTTTCAAGAGTTTCAAGAGTTTCTAGAGTTTCAAGAGTTTCAAGAGTTTCAAGAGTTTCAAGAGTTTCCAGAGTTTCAACGGCTTCAAGAGTTTCAAAAGTTTCAAGAGTTTCAACAGTTTTAAGAGTTTCAGGAGTTTCAAGAGTTTCAAGAGTTTCAAGAGTTTCAAGAGTTTCAAGAATTTCAAGAGTTTCAAGAGTTTCAAGAGTTTCAAGAGTTTCAAGAGTTTCAAGAGTTTCAAGAGTTTCAAGAGTTTCAAGAGTTTCAAGAGTTTCAAGAATTGCAAAAAACGCCCCCAGAGTAGTCGCCCCCCCTCCCCCCGGCTAATATTATCACCATTTTTTCACAGGTTCCTCGGCACTTTATCAAAAATGAACATGAGAGCGCGGAAGGTATTACAAATATTAGGGGGAATACGTCGCACTCGAGGTCTGGAAAAGAGAGATCGAGGATACCTATATGTTTCCTGGGGGGTTTTCCATACCCCTCAGACCTCTCGGTATTACTTTTTCCCTTAATATTTTCAAAGCCTTCCGCGCTTTAACGATCATTTTTGAAGAGAAGCAATTTTTGAGCAAATGTCACTGCATTTTGTCAAAAATGGGCATTGGAGCGCGAAAGGCTTTTAAAATATTGGGTAAAAACGTAGCAGAGGGTGGTACGTACCTTCCAGAAAAATATAGATGGATGGCATTTCGTCACACTTGATTGATAGCGGAGAGGCGCCTTAAAAATGTAGAGAAAAACGTAGCACCGGTGGTCGGGAAAAGAGGAATCAAAATATTGGGGGAAAACGTAGCTACGAGTGGTATGAGGGGCAAGGAATATCCTCCATCCATACCTCCAGGGAAGGAGAAATCGGTAGCATTACGTATAACAACTGATTGATAGCGTAGACCTCTTAAATATTTTTGGGGAAAACGCAGCACTCTGGAAAGTAGTAGACATTCACGGAATACCCTTCCAGGAAGATTTCTCCTTTCCCGGGGGAGGGGGGGATGGAATACACCCCCAGCAAATGAGATATCAATGTCATTTCACCACAACTGATTGATAACGCGAAGGGCTCTTAAACATTCTGCGGAAAAACGTAGCACCGGGGGGTCTGGAAAGTACAGATCGATGGAATACACTCCCAGGAAAAGATCTCTCCTTCCCTCTGGTGTATTCCAGAGCCCTCGATGTTACGTTTTCCCTTAATATTTTCAACGCCCGCGATGTAACGATCGTTTTTGGAGAGAAACCACTTTTAAGCAAGTGCCATCTCATTTCCTCAAAAATGATCGTCGGTGCATGTAAAACTTTAAAGACGTGGGGGGAGAAGCGTAGCACCGGGGGATCTGGGGGGTATGGAATACCCCCCAGGCTACAACTCCCAGGAAAAGAGAGACCCCCAGACCCAGGTGCCCTATATTTCCTTAATATCTTCAAAGCCTGCCGCGCTCCAACTATCATTTTTGAACAGACGCCATTTTGGAGCAACTGCCATCGCATTTTCTCAAAAATGATCATCGGGGCATGTAAAGCTTTAAAAACGCAGGGGAGAAGCGTAGCACCGGGGGGTCTGGGGGGTATGGAATACCCCCCAGGCTACAACCCTCACGAAAAGAGAAACCCCCAGACCCAGGTGACCTATGTTTCCTTAATATTTACAAAGCCTACCGCGCTCCAACTATCATTTTTGAACAGACACCATTTTTGACCAAGTGCCAACGCATTTCCTCAAAAATGATCATCGGGGCATGTAAAACTTTAAAAACGTGGGTGAGAAGCGTACCACCGGGGGGTCTGGGGGGTATGGAATACCCCCCAGGCTACAACTCCGAGGAAAAGAGAGACCCCCCAGACCCAGGTGCCCTATAGTTCCTTAATATTTTCAAAGCCTACCGCGCTCCAACTATCATTTTTGAACAGACACCATTTTTGACCAAGTGCCAACGCATTTCCTCAAAAATGATCATCGGGGCATGTAAAACTTTAAAAACGTGGGTGAGAAGCGTACCACCGGGGGGTCTGGGGGGTATGGAATACCCCCCAGGCTACAACTCCGAGGAAAAGAGAGACCCCCCAGACCCAGGTGCCCTATAGTTCCTTAATATTTTCAAAGCCTACCGCGCTCCAACTATCATTTTTGAAGAGACGCCATTTTGGAGCAAGTGCCATCGCATTTTCTCAAAAATGATCATCAGGGTATGTAAAGCTTTAAAAACGTGAGGGAGAAGCGTAGACGGAGGGTCTGGGGGTATGGAATACCCCCTAGTCTACATCCCCCAGGAAAAGAGAGAGCGATGGCATTTCTTCAGAAGAGATTGATGGCAGGGAGGAGTATTAAAAATGATGGGGGAAAACCTACCACCTAGTGGTTTGGAAAGTAGGGTCGATGGAAGACACTCCAAGGAAAAGATTTCTCCTTTCCTGAAGGGATTTTTCGCTAATATTTTCAAAGCCTTCCGTGCTCTAATAATGAAAAGACATCATTTTGAAGCAAGTTCCATCGCATTTTCTCAAAAATTAGAATCGGAGCGCGGAGGGCTCTTAAACATTCAAATGATCTTCAGGAAAGTTTCCCCGATCTCGGCGTAACGCCGATGTTTATTACCCACGAACGCGAGAGTGTTGATTAATTCATCGATTTCGTACGGGACGCTGCTCTAAATTATCCAAAAATTCTTCGCGTCGAGCGCGTTTTACGATGGCGCTAATTGCGCACAAAAAATTGATTAAACCTAAACGTTTCGCAATCTAAATAAAACGCTCGTAACTTAAAAGCCGAAAATTAATATTTAATTTTTATCCTTCAAATAAGATTTCCAATTCATTAATTTCATTCGGTTTTAATATTTTAAATAAATTATTTATAATTAAGTGGTTGTTTACCGGAATGACGTCATTGCCTCGCTTAATTAGAAATGACGGACTGAACTGGGTTATTGTAATATTTTCTGGGATCGGATTCTCAACATTTTTGGGGTTTTAAGATGGATTACTGGTAAGCAAACAAAGCTTAGAAATTCTTCGACCTTCAAAATGCCATATACACAATGAAATATACCTCAATTCCTGATCTCCCTCCCACTTAAAGGCCATCAATAAATCCATCTCCATTGAATGCGCCTTCTGGTTTACTATTTTTTCTTCGGCGCGCTGTCTCTGTCGGGCGCGCGGAACGGGCGCGCGCGCCGTCCTTGTCCAGCCGCAGGACACGAGATATCTCCCAATGCGTTTGTCTCTGTTTAGCGAAATATGTCAACTATGTTTCGCGTCCCTCTCTACATCATTGTTAAATGTTCAAGAATCATGTTGGGGCCCTCAGTTCGTTGTGGCGTCTTCTGGTGCTCGCATGTCCGACGCTGACGTGACGACGCGCGCGTGGATGAAGGCGAAATGGGTCACTACAATAACTTGGAGGAGCAGACGATGCGCGCGATTTGTGGTGGTGATTTTAACGGTGGTGGCGGCGCGCGGCACAAGAACGTTTGTCTGATAAGTGTGGTGGTCGGGTTTACGATCGGCCTTAGCCTAGGAATTTTTCTGCCGCTGATCTACTTGGAGAGCGCGATAAAGAACTCGACGCATCCAATTAGCGATGCTGCAGCTATTCGAAGTATTTTTCTTAATAACAGCTTTAAGGCGCAGAACTCGTCGCCGATCAGTTTCGTTGAGCTGCACGACGATAGCACCCTGATCGAGGACGGGATCTACTGGGGTGCCCGGGTCGAGGGCGCGCTGCCTGAGGGTTACGTGAAGCACGAGACGTGGACGGAGTATGTGAGAGGTGGAGTCGCGGTTAAGCTGGAGGGTGGCTGCGGGCGCATGCAGAATCGCCTGCTGACGTTCCAGGATGGGCGCCAGGGGTGCGTGCGTTACCGACAGAACACCGACCAAATCCAGGGGGAGCTCTTCAGCTTTTACCTCGCGCAAATCTTGAAGTTGCCAAACTTGGCACCCTCCGCCGTGACCACCGTCAACCTGAATGCGCCGCTTTGGAGGAACTTGGAGAGCGAAATCGCCTCGGCCCAGTGGAACTCGAATCGGCCCGTCGTGATAACGCAGTTCATCCCCGATTTGAGCTCGGCCAACATCCCCAACGTGTTCAGGCCGAACGAGAGGCACCTGAATAAGTACGACGTGTTCAACATGACCGGCGATCGGGTCCTCGGCAACCTGGTGGAGCTCGCCCAGTGGTCGGATCTCATCATCTTCGACTATCTCACCGCCAACTTGGATAGGATTGTAAATAACTTGTATAACTATCAGTGGAATGTGAACATTATGGACGCACCCGCGCATAATTTAGCCAAAAAACTCGACCTACTCGTCTTTTTGGACAACGAGTCCGGCCTCCTGCACGGCTATCGCCTGCTAAAGAAGTACGAGGTCTACCACTCGGTGCTCCTGGACAATTTGTGCGTGTTCCGGCGCTCGACGGCCGACGCGATACGCCACCTCCTACGTGCCGGAAACGTGGGGCATCTGCTGAAGAGCATGTTCGAGAAGCGCAACAGCCCCCAGGTGAAGGACGTGCTCCCCTCGCTCCCAGAGAAGAGCATCAAAATCCTGAATGAGCGAATAGACAAGGTACACAATCAAATTTTGAGATGTGAATCCATGTTCTTTGATGGTAATCGGACTTGAAAGTATCCTTAGGTAGTCGCATATTTGAAATTGTAATTTGGTGTTCAAAGCCGGTTTGCTCCCTCCTATTTTTATTAATTTTTTTTTTCCTTTTCGTTCACTACCGTTTGTCTTGCATGACGGACGGAATTTAAAATAGGATCTTAATTTATTAGTGGAAAAATAGGCGAAAATGATTTATCGGGTCAATTGAGGGGACACTTTTATTTCCCCGTTTCTTATATTTCGGTACCCGTAAATCTGTTAACCGACGGAGAAGCCGTAAAATCGCAGTTACACGCCGTTTTCGTTTTATTGCGCGCCATAATTTAGTCGGAATGACCGGCCCGGTCGAAAACCCCTAGAAATGTAAAACTCGGTCACTTGTTGTAGCCTCGCCGGTCGAACGATTACTTTGTCTCTTCGTCAAAATTTGCCTCGGCGAGCAGCGCGAGCGACACGTTTTATGTAAATCGCCTCGCATTTATCACAGTTTACCATATCTTGATCTCCGTTTATGGCGCGGAGGTTATGACCATTTGCTCTGGGGGGTACGATTTTATGATCGGAGAATGGCATTTCGAGAATCTCAATTTTTTTCTCCCGACGCGCCGCAGCTCGCCCAAACGATTTCAATAAAAAATGACCCCCCGATTTAAGACCTTTTGGAGGAGGGCGGCGCGCAATTGTTTCATCGAGATCATGGCCGCACAGATTTTTTCGAAAATCACACAAAATCCGAAAGACACATACATTTGTCATGAAGCCAGCTTTGTAGAACATTTACGGCACAAAGTGCCGCATTTGTGCCGTCCTAAAATGAAAAGTTTCAAAATGTCAGAAAATAGGCACATTTTTCAAATCTGTGCCGTAAAAGACTAACTTTTAGAGTGTAGATTTATTCAACAGTATTCAACACAACACAAACTTTTTGGTTAGTGCTGTATTTGTGCCTTGCAGCCTTTACTGGTCCGACAAAATTTCCTATTTTTGTTTCCTCATTTACTTGTCTTATTTTGTGCCGCTTTGTGCCATAAAATATATACCAAAAGAAACCCTTTAAAATTTGTGCCGTTCATTTACGGGAAAAACAAAGAGAGAATTTCTCATACGCGCCGTTGCTCACCCAGACGATATGAATAAAAATGATCTTCCGATTTAAGACCTTTTGGAGGGCGGCGGCGCGCAATTGTGTCATCGAGATCGTGGCCGCACAGATTTTTTCGAAAATCCCACAAAATTCTGCTATAGATCCGAAAAACACATACATTTTTCACGAAGCCAGCTTTATAGAACATTTACGGCACGAAGTGCCGCATTTGTGCCGTCCTAAAATGAACAGTTTTAAAATTTCAGAAAATAAGCACATTTTTCAAATCTTTGAACACTTCTACCGGCACAATTCTCGCCAGAGATGCCGCATTTGTGCCGTAAAAGACGTTCTACTAACTTTTAGTGTGTAGATTGTTCAATAGTATTCAACACAACACAAACTTTTTTGGTTAGTGCCGTACGAGGTGCCGTATTTGTGCCTTGCAGCCTTTACTGTACGACAAAATTTCTTATTTTTGTTTCCTCATTTACTTGTCTTATTTTGTGCCATAAAAAGTTTACCAAAAGAAACCCTTTAAAATTTGTGCCGTTCATTTATGGGCAAAACAAAGAGAGAATTTCTCAGACGCGCCGTTGCTCGCCCAAACGATATGAATAAAAATGATCGCCCGATTTAAGACCTTTTGGAGGGCGGCGGCGCGCAATTGTTTCATCGATATCATGGCCGCACAGTTTTTTTTCGAAAATCACACAAAATTCTGCTATAGATCGGAAAGACACATATATTTTTCATGAAGCCAGCTTTGTAAAACATTTACGGCACGAAGTGCCGCATTTATGCCGTCCTAAAATGAAGAGTTTCAAAGTGTCAGAAAATAGGCACATTTTTCAACACTTCTACCGGCACAATTCTCGCCAGAGGTGCCGCATTTGTGCCGTAAAAGACTAACTTTTAGTGTGTAGATTTTTTCAACAGTATTCAACACAACACAAACTTTGTGGTTGGTGCCGTATTTGTGCCTTGCAGCCTTTACTGGTCCGACAAAATTTCCTATATTTGTTTCCTCATTTACTTGTCTTGTTTTGTGCCATAAAAGTTTCCCAAACGAAACCCTTTAAAAATTGGGCCGTTCATTTACGGGCAAAACAAAGAGAGAATTTCTTAGATGCGCCGTTGCTCGCCCAAACGATATGAATAAAAATGATCGCCCGATTTAAGACCTTTTGGAGGGTGGCGGCGCGCAATTGTTTCATCGGGATCGTGGCCGCACAGATCACACAAAATTCTACTATAAATCCGAAAGACACATACATTTTTCACAAAGCCAGCTTTGTGGAACATTTACTGCCGTCCTAAAATGAATAGTTTCAAAATGTCAGAAAATAGGCACATTTTTTAAATCTTTGAACACTTCTACCGGCACAATTCTCGCCAGAGATGCCGCATTTGTGCCGTAAAAGACGTTCTGTTAACTTTCAGTGTGTAGATTTTTTCAGCCGTAGGGCACTCATTTGTGCCAGTTGATGCCACAAAGCAAATAAAAATGTTGCACGATGTCCATTCTTGTATTTGTCCCATTTAGTGCCGTTCAAAGTCTTTACACAAAGCATGCTGTTTATAGTTTGCCTATTCGTTTGTCACGTCTGAAATTAAAGCATAGGCCACTTCAAAGTAATAGACTCTTGTACGTTTCGTTTGTGCCGTAACATTTTCCAAGTAGAATAAAGAGAAAGCTCTACGCAACAAACTTCTGTATTGTAAATTGTTTAGTGCTGTATTTGTACAAGTTTGTGCCGTTTAAAATTTATGCACAAAATAAACCTTTTGTTTTAGGGCAACATTTTTAAAGTTATTTGGATAGATGTGCTTTGTGCCTGTCATTTCAGAGTGATCGTATTTCGCACGCCACGCAAAAAACTACTTATTCTTGCTTTTTTAGTGCCATGTTAGTTCAGTTTTGAGCAGTACGACGGTTGCCAATTGTTATTTAGTTCTGTCTTTTTAAACCTTTTTGGTTGGTGCCGTATTTGTACCTTAAAAATGTTACCGATGGGCGCACCTTTTTAAAATTTTCACGCTCGATCAAACGATTTAAATAAAAAATCATCCCCCGATTTGACGTTTTGGGTGGCGCGGCTTGTAATTGTTTCATCAAAACCATGGCAGCACAGATTTTTTCGAAAGTCACAGAAAATTTTGCTATAGAACCAAACCATGAATATAAAGACGCATTCTCTTTTCATGAAAGACAGAATCCATCTTTGTGAAGCATTTACGGCACATAGTGCCGCATTTGTGCCGTCCTAAAAGGAATCAAAATGTCAGAAGATATTTTTATATCATATTTCATTTACCTAGCATATTTTTTAAAACTATGAACACTGCTATCGGCACAATTCTCGCTAGAGGTGCCGCATTTGTGCCGTAAAAGACGGTTACACATAATTACCGGGTTTGTGCCATCAAAAACCCTGGTCCTCAGTTTGTGCCAGTTGGTGCCGCATAACGAAGAAACAGAACGTTGTTACTTGTTCTCCGAAACTCCGCAACACAATCCTGCACGATGTCCATTTTTTGTATTTATCCAATTTTGTGCCGTTAAAAATAAATTGTCAGACAATCAAGCTGTGAAATTAAAGGATTTTTGATGTTCTATTTGTCCCTCGATTTGTCCCTTTTGCAAGTATTCTACTCTATTACATTTAACTTGTGCCGCAACGTTTGAGAGCATTATTGTGGGCAGCAAGAAACTCCGCAACAAACTGCTGTATTATGCTGCATTTGTTCAAATTTGTGCCGTTTAAAATTTACTGACAAGACACAAACCCTTACGATAGCATTATTAAAAGCAAACTTCACACTCCCTTGCCAACTCGATTCTTGATACTATGTCAAATGGTAAATGAGGTAGCTTGTGCCGTTAAGAGTTCGTCGACAAAAATCCTCCCAAAGTTTTCAAATCAATGTGCCTTCTTGTAGCGTAAAATATTATCAAATTCTCTGGGATTGGTGTAAAATGGGTATCACTTTGTGCCTTTCATTCCAGATTGATCGTATTTTGCACACTTTTCTACTTAGTGCCGCATTTGTGCCGTAATCGACCTAATAATGATCGCTCGAAGTTTTGGGTGGCGCAACTAGCAATTGTTTCATCGAAATCATGGCAGGATAGAATCCCAGAAAATTTTGCTATAGAACCAAACTTTTCATGAAATACAGAAGCCATCCTTGTGGAACATTAATTTGTGCCGTTTCAAAATATCAGAAAATTTGTGCCATAAAAGCCTGAGCTGTCAAATAATGTACCTATTTCTAGACGCTCTTCTTAGTACTGCTATTTTTGTCTGCAATTCATGCAGTACATTTGTGCCACTTTGTGCCGTTAAAAGCTTACCCAAAAAAAGCTATTCAACCATGTTAAATTTGTAAATGCTAGCATATTCTAGTATCTGTTAGTGCCGACTTATCTAAAGCACAATTATGGGGTTCACAGTCTGGGCCAGTTAGTGCCGCAAGGCAAAGAAACAGAACGTGTCAGTTGTTATTGTGCATTTTTTGAGACGTTCACAGTTCTCACACAAATTAAGCGGTTTAAAGTTTGCCTATTCGTGCTGTCAAGTCTGAAATTAAGGCATATTTATATGCTCTACTAGGTTTGTCAATTAAATCCGCGGTTAAATTTGAGCCTTTAGCATGGGCCACTGCAAAGTAATCGACTCTTTTACGTTTAGTTTGTGCCGCAACATTTTCGAAGCAAAATAAGGAGCAAGCTTTAAGCTACGCAACAAATTTTTGTGTTGTCAATTTTGTGTGTGCTGTATTTGCGCAAGTTTGTGCCGTTTTTAGCGCAAAATGTTATCAAATTTACTTTTGTGCCTCTAATTTCAGCGTGATCGTATTTCGCACACTTTGCTGGTTAGTGCCGCATTTGTGCTGTAAAATACCACAAGTCTGATTAATTTGCTTACTTTTCTTGCATGACTTACCTACTTGTCCTCATTTTGTGCCGATTTGTGCCATAAGCAATTTACCTAGAAAAAACCGTTTAAAAACGTAAAAGCGTATATCGCTTTGTACGGCACAAATGTTGTAATTGTGCTGCAATATTTTATTCGCAAAATAAAACCTTGCGAAAACTAGTGCTTAGGTATTATGTAAAGTTCGAGCACTGTCTTTCAGAACAGATTTCGGGTCTACTTATGTGCTTTTTTTTAGTGTTGCCCGAGTTTTTAAAAATTTTAATAATGCGTTGGAAGTCGATTATATTATATTGCATATTCAGTGAGAAATATGCAAGATAACATAGATAATGGTGTTAAATCATACTTAAATCAAACTTTGAAACTTCGGTCGAGGTTAAATTGTCAAAAATTTTAAGAATTTAAATAATGCGTTAGAAGACGATTATCTCATATTGCATATTCAGTGAGAAATATGCAAGATAACATAGATAATGGTGTTAAATCATACTTAAATCAAACTTTGAAACTTCGGTCGAGGTTAAATTGTCAAAAATTTTAAGAATTTAAATAATGCGTTAGAAGACGATTATCTCATATTGCATATTCAGTGAGAAATATGCAAGATAACATAGATAATGGTGTTAAATCATACTTAAATCAAACTCCGAAGCTGCCTTAGAAATGTAAATGTCAAAAATTTTAATAATGCTTAGGAACTCGATTATTGCATATTGCATATTCTGCGAGAATTGTGCAAGATAATACAGGAAACGGTGTTATTGAGACTGCGATAAAGCTTAATTTGTCAAAAAATTTCATTATGTTTAATAATGCGTTGGAGGTCGATCATTGCATATTGCATATTCTGTGAGAAATACGCAAATCACACAGAAAATTGTCTTAAATCGTTTTTAAATCAAACTGTGAAATTTGGTTTGAGCTTAAATTGTCAAAAATTTCATGATTTTTAAGAATGCGTGGAAAGTCGACTATCGCATATTGCATATTCTGCGAGAAATAAGCAAGGTAACAGCGGAAATTGTGTTAAGTCATTTTTAAATTAAATTTCAAAGCTGCGGTCGATCTTAAATTGTCAACAATTTCATGATTTTTACTATTTCGCTGGAAGTTGATTATCGCATATTACATATTTTGTGAGAAATACGAAATGTAACACAGAAAAATGTGTTAAATGATAGTTAAATCAAACTTTAAAACTGCGGTCAAGCTTAAATTGTCAATGTTTTACTGAATTTTAATAATGCGTTAAAAGTGATTATTGCATATTGCATATTCTGTTAGAAATACGTAATGTAACACTCCAAAATGTGTTAAATCATACTTAAATCAAACTTTGAAACTGCGGTGGAGCTTAAATTGTAAAAATATTCATGATTTTTAATAATACGCTGGAAGCCAGTAAGCGCATATTGCATATTCTGTAAAAAAATAGGCAACATAACACAGAAGATGGTGTAAATCAATCTTTGAAGTGGCGATCGAGATTAAATTAGCCAAAATTTAATGATTCTTAATAATGGGTTGGAAGTCGCTGATCGCATATTGCATACTCTGCTAGAAAATGAGGTTAAATCGTACATAAATCAAACGTTGAAGCCGGAATTGAGCTTAAATTGTCATAAATTTCTTTGTTTTAATAATGCCCTGGAAGTTGATTATCGCATATTGCATATTCTGTTAGAAATATGCAAGATAAAACAGAAAATGGTGTTAAATCAAACTTTGAAACTGCGGTCGAGCTTAAATTGTAAAAGGTTTACTCAATTTTAATAATGCGTTGGAAGTCGATTATTGCATATTGCATATTCAGTGGGAAATAGGAGATATAACGTAGAAAATGACGTTATATCATACTTTGGAGCTGCGGTCGAGCTTAAATTGTCAAAAATGTCTTGATTTTTAATAAAGCGTTAGGGCATATTACATATTCTGTGAGAAATAGGCACAATAAAGCAGAAAAAGATGTTACATTATACTTAAATCAATGTTTGAAGCTGCGGTCGGACTCAAATTTCCAAAAAATGTCATCTTTTGTAATAATGCTTAGGAAATCGATTATCGCATATTGCATATTCTTTGAGTTACGCAAATCACACAGAAAATTGTCTTAAATCGTTTTAAATGAAACTGTGAAGTTGGGTTTGACCTTAAGTTATCATGTCATCATCATTTTTAATAATGGGATTTATCGCATATTGCATATTTTGCGAGGCATAGACAAGATAATACAGAAACTGCTGTTAAATCAAAACTTTAAAGCTGTGGTCGAGCTTAAATTGTCAAAAATTTCATGAATCTTTAATAATGCTTAGAAAATCAATCATTGCATATTGCATATTCTGCGAGAAATATGACAGCAAATTGTGTTGTCATACTTAAATCAAACATTGAGGTTGTGATAGAGCTTGAATTGTCACAAATTTAATGATGTTGAATAATGCGTTATAGGTCGATTAATTGCATATTGCATATTCTGTGAGAAATACGCAAATCACACAGAAAATTGTCTTAAATCGTTTTTAAATCAAACTGTGAAGTTGGGTTTGAGCTTAAATTGCTAAAAATTTCATGATTTTTAATACTGGGATTTATGGCATATTGCATATTTTGCGGGAAATACGCAAGATAACCCAGAAAGTCAGACTTATATCAAACTTTGAACAGCTGCACATCAGTGTCCACTTGGTCTCAACGGTGGAGCTTAAATTGTCCAGAAATTCGCATATTTATTGGATATTTTGAAAATCGTGTGCCAACCTTTGAATAGTTGCATCTTCGAGTCCATTATTTTGAGCTTTAAGCTGCGGTTGATCTTAAAATTGGCATAAATCGGCACAAATTGCAAATAGTGCTGAAATATCTTGGCTTTTGTGCCCACGAGCTCGCTAGCCATGGAATGCTTGATCATAATCCACATTAAATGACACCAAAATTCCTCATTACAAAATGGCTGACAAATTAATGGGTGGTCCCAATTAGACAGTAAATCAGCCCAATATATTTACGTCTAATAAACAAAATGGCGACGGCACCTTTCGCGAGCGCAAATTTCTCCTACTCGACCGCCAATTTACAAATTATTCGAAATTTCCGCAACGAATTTATCGACGTAATTAGCCTAATCAAACCTCGAGATCAGCAAAGGCGAACGTTTCCGCAAATCTCCTTTTGACCGGTCCCCCGCGCCTCACCGGCTTTTCTTAATTACTTTAATTGGGTTTTATCGCCCCGAAAATTTCGAAGGGACTGGTTCCGATGGGAAAACGCGTCACAATTGAAAGGGGGAATCAAGGAAGCGGGCACCGAAAAAAAATTAAATTTTTATTACCGCGCGATTATATTTATATATATATATATATCTTTATTGCTTATAAATCAGGCTTCTTAATTAAATTATATTCATGAAAAAGGTATGTGTATTAAGAAAAAAAGTCGTTTGGTATAACACAATGGCAGAATTTCTCTCTTTTAATAAATTACAAGTTTATGTCGGCCGGACATAGGCCTTTGACTTTTATGGCGAAAACGCGATTTGTGGTTTTTCGAAAATGCGAGTGTGGCCATCGCCGATTTAAATCGAAAAAATTACAAGTTTATGTCGGCCGGACATAGGCCTTTGACTTTTATGGCGAAAACGCGATTTGTGGTTTTTCGAAAATGCGAGTGTGGCCATCGCCGATTTAAATCGAAACAAAACGCGCACTCACGCTACGAGCTCGCGCGGCATTAGAAAAAAAGTCTAAAACACGAGTCCGACGTTATGTAAATTTAAACGGACACAGAATCGTTCGACTGGAATTGTTAAACACAGTTCATTAAGTTAAGGTTTCCTCTTTTTTTTGCTGTTGTTGTCTATTGTACCAACACGATTTCGTAACCCGGAGACAGAGAGCGTCTACCCTAATTGATCTTGTGATATACGTGACGCGCGCTTTTTCAAAAAAAGCATCGACTGATTTTAGATGACCCCCCCTCTTCCCGTATTGGCTTAATTGTAAAGTAAATCATGTGATATATATTTATAGTTTAGTTGTATTAGTCTGAGAAAGCCAAATAATGTAAAATAAAGTGTAATATAATGTAAATAGATTAATTAATATATGACAACTTTTTGTAACTTGTTGCCTTTTTTTTCCTATTATAAATGTGTTACAGATGGGCGAGTCCATTGTTAATTTTTCTAGTAATTTATGGGACTATAAAACCACGATGGATACGAAATTGACAGGTGATCGTTCTCAATGCGGGATGTAATTGAAATGCGTTCCCATGTTTCCACCTACAGGAATCGTTATTCTTCACAGATTAATAATTTTACGTCAGGTTGTGCCATAAATATATTAATTATCTTTTTATTCCCACCCCTTTTGAGTGCAGAGATTTTGTAAAAAAGATCGAAAACTTCAGGCGCAGTCGTCATCAAAGAGAGGTAGGTAGACGGCGGACGGAGCTTTTTAAATTGGAGTATGAAGATCTTGGGAGTATTAGGAATGACTTGAAATCATACTTAAATCAAACTCTGACCTAGCGGTTGAGCTTAAATTGTCGAAATTTTTATAATTTTTAAAATAAAATATAATATAATATATATATCATATATAATATAATATATATAATATATAATATAATATAATATAATATATTATACTATATAATATAATAATAAAAAAATTTTAAAATATTATGCCGGAAATAGGCAAGATAACACCGAAGATGATATTTCGGTCGAGCGTAAATTGTCTAAACTGTTATGATTTTTAATAATGCGCTGGAAATCGTTTATCGCATATTGCATATTTTGCGAGAAATATGCAAGATAACACAGATAATGGTATTAAATTATGCATATTCTGTGAGAAATAGGCATTATAACACAGAACACTGTGTTGTCATTCTTAAATCAAATTTTAAAGCTGCGGGTGAGCCTAAATTGTCAAACATTTCACAATTTTTAATAATGCACTGGAAGTGGATTATCGCATATTGCATATTCTGTGAGAAATATGCAAGACAACACTGAAAAAGGTGTTAATTCATTCTTCACTCTAACTTTGAAGGTCCCGTCGAGCTTAAATTGTGAAAAATTTATGATTTTTAATAATCCTTTCGAAGTCGATTATCGCATATTGCATATTCTGTGAGAAATATGCAAGACAACACAGAAAAGGGTGTTAATTCATGCTTAAATCTAACTTTGAACTTAAATTGTCAAAAATTTCAAGATTTTTAATAATGCATTCGAAGTCGATTATCGCATATAGCATATTCTGCTAGAAATATGCAAGATAACACAGATAATGGTGCTAAATTATACCTAAGTTAAACTTTAAAGTTGCGGTCGAGCTTAAATTGTCCAAAATATCATAATCTTTAATAGTGTAGGTATTAAAGTCGATTTTCGCTCATTGCATATTCTGTGAGAAATATGCAAGACAACACAGAAAAGGGTGTTAATTCATACTTCACTCTAACTTTGAAGGTCCCGTCGAGCTTAAATTGTCAAAAATTGCATGATTATAAATAATGCATTCGAAGTCGATTATCGCATATAGCATATTCAGCTAGAAATATGCAAGATAACACAGATAATGGTGTTAAATTATACTTAAATTAATATTTAAAGCTGCGGTCAAGCTTAAATTGCCCAAAATGTCATAATTTTTAATAATGTAGGTATTAAAGTCGATTCTCGCCCATTGCATATTCTGTGAGAAATACGCATTATAAGACAGAACACTGTGTTGTCATTTTTAAATCAAATTTTAAAACTGCGGGTGAGCCTAATTTGTGAAAAACATTTCATGGTTTTTGATAATGCATTGGAAGTCGATTATCGCATATTGCATATTCTGCTAGAAATATGCAACACAACACAGAAAAGGGTGTTAAATCTAACTTTGAAGGTCGAGCTTAAATTGTCAAAAATTTTTAATAATGCATTCGAAGTCGATTATCGCATATTGCATATTCTGCTAGAAATATGCAAGATGACACAGATAATGGTGTTAAATTATACTTAAATTAAACTTTAAAGCTGCGGTCAAGCTTAAATTGTCCAAAATGTCATAATCTTTAATAGTGTAGGTATTAAAGTCGATTCTCGCTCATTGCATATTCTGTGAGAAATATGCAAGACATCACAGAAATCTAACTTTGAAGGGCCGGTCGAGCTTGAATTGTGAAAAATTTCACGATTTTTAATAATGCATTCGAAGTCGATTATCGCATATAGCATATTCTGCTAGAAATATGCAAGATAACACAGATAATGGTGTTAAAT